AGGAGGGCATGGCAACCCACCCCAGTATTCTTGCCTGGAAATCCCACGGACAGAGGAGCCTGGTGAGCTAGAGTCCATGGGGTTGCAAAGAGCTGGACACAGCATTTCTGGACTGTAGTGAAATCACAGAGAATACATACAAACTGTGGATCACTGTGCCCTTCCTACTATAGAATCTCAACTAGATGAAGCTACTGGTTATAGCTTAGGGGAAAAAGTGATGAGACATGAGGCTCAGACCTTTGGTTTGGGCTATTTGGAGATGGAATTCTCAGAGAGAGTTGGGCAGTTGAAGGAAACATGTTCGGAGAGAGGAGACGTACTGTATAGGCAATTCACATTATTTGCCTGGAGTCCAAAAGAGAGATCAAGGCAGGAGAAAAAAAAATTTGGACCATATGTGCAGTGGTAAAGACATTTAAATTTCAATAGGTATTGCATGTGGGGGAGCTGCACTGCCTGGAATGACTGGGCCTAAGGGGTTAGGGTAGTGTGATGAGTGAAGTGGCATGCTGACGCACAGCTGTAAGGAACTGAGATAGATGCATAGCAGCTGCTTCTTCTTTAGTTTTACACAATGCCACTAAAGTGCCACTCAGATGTCATACATACATACATATGCATGTATACATACACACATGTATATAGCAGACATACACATATATAGACATATATACAGCAGACATACACATATATAGACATACACACACACCTGGCAGTGGGAACAGAGGCAGAACAGGACATTCTAGGCGTAAGGAGTAGCATATGCAAGCTACCTGGAACAAGAGACAGATATGAAATGATACTGCTGTTTCAGGAAACTGTAAGTGTTAGTGCAAAGAAACTGCAGAGTACTGACACATAAGGGATTATTAAGATACAACATAGTAAGAATTGACAAAAACCATAATAATTCTTCAGTCAAGTAGGAAGGTGGACTTTACCTTATAGGTTGTGAGAAGTCATCACAGAGAAGCACATGATTGAGTTTATACTGAGGAATTAATACCAAACCCAAAGAAACACAAGGACTGACTGTAAGTGTGTGTCAGTCACTCGGTCGTGTCCGACTCTTGGCTCGTCAGGCCCCTCTGACCATGGAATTCTTCAGGCAAGAATACTGGAGTGGGTAGCCATTCCCTTCTCCAGGGGACCTTCCTGACTCAGGGACTGAACCCTGGTCTCTCGGATTGCAGACAGATTCTTTACCATCTGAGCCACCAGGAAAGTCCACTGATTATAAGAGAACACTATGAACTGCATGCCAACAAACTAGATAGCCTAGTCAGCATGGACAAATTCCTAGAAATACACTTTAAATACTAAAACTGACTCAACAAGAAATAGAAAAATTCAGGATACCTGTAACAAGTAAAAAGATCAAATCAAAAATCCTCTCAATAAAGAAAAGTCTAGAACCCAGTAGTTTCACTGATGTATTCTACCAAGCATTTAAAGAAGAATTAACACCAATTCTCTCACACTCTTTCAAAAAATAGAGGAAGGAACACTTGCTAACTCACTCTGTGAGGTCAGCATGACCTTGATATCACTGCCAGAGATATTACAATGAAAGAAAACTATGAAAATATATGAAAAAATCTTCAAATGAACAATCAGAAAACAAGATGAAACAAAAAAACCCCTAACAAGCTGAATTCAAAATCATAGTAAGAGGATTATAAGCCATGACAAGGGGCTTCCCAGGTGGCTCAGTGGTAAAGAATCTGCCTGCCAATGCAAGAGACACAGGTTCAACCTCTGGGCTGGGAGGATCCCCTGGAGGAGGACATGGCAACCCACTGCAGTATTCTTGTGTGGAAAATTCCACGGATAGAGGAACCTAGCAGGCTATAGTCCATGGGGTCACAGAGAGTCAGACATGACTGAGCATGCACACACACATAGCCATAACAAAGCAGTGTGTATCTCAGGACTGTAACGGTAGTTCAACAACAACAACAACAACAAATCAAACAATGTAATATACCACATTAACAGGACAAAAGGAAAAGAAAATGATCATGTCAAGTGATTCAGAAAAGCATTTGACAAGATTCAACCTCCTATCTAGAAACTAGAAGAGAACTTCCTCAACATAATAAAGGGAACTTATATTTTAAATGCACAATTGACATCATATTCAATAGTAAAAGACTGAAAAAATGCAAAACAATGGACCTCTACCTCACACCATACACAAAAAGTCAACTCGATATGGATTTACGTTACCTAAACCTAAGAGGTAAAGTTAGAAAGCTCTTAGAAAAAAACATAATGGTAAATCTTTATGACCTTGAGTTTGGCAGTATATTCTCAAATAGGACAAAAAATGCATAGTGACAAAGAGAAAATGGGTAAGTTAGACATCAAAACTGAAAAGTTCTGTGTATCAAAGAACACAAAGAAAGTGAAAAGAGGACATATATTTAATAGAATGAAAGAAAATCTTTGCAATCATACCTGATAAGGGTCTAGTATCTAGTATCTCACACTCAGCAACAAAGAGACAAGCAACATCGTTTTAAAATGGGCAAAGGACTTGAACAGACATTTCTCCAAAGAACATAAACAAAAAAACAAGTACACACATTTGCTGAAAGGATATTCAACATCATTAATCCCTTGGGAAATGTAAATCAAAACCACAATGATATACCAGTTCCCGTCTACTAAGATCAATATAATTTTATAAAAGAGAAATTATTGAATGATGAGAAACTGGAATGCTCATGTATTCCTGGTGGGAATATAAAATGGTACAGCTACTGTGAAAAGCAGTATGGTAGTTGCTCAAAAACCCAAACACAGCATCACCATATGGCCACGGCAATTCCACTTCTAGGTACATAACCAAAATAACTGAAAACAGGTACTTAAAATATGTATAAACACTTTTGTTTCTGCAGTATGCACAATAGCCAGAAGGTAAAAACAACCCAAACATTCATCAACTGACACAGACAAATTGTGACATATAAATACAAGGGAACGTCATTCAGCCATAAAAGGTAATGCACTAAACAAGCTACAATGTAGATTATCCTCAAGAACACTGTGCTAAGTGAGAGAAGTCAGTCATAAAAGGTCACACACTATATGATTCACTCATAGTAGAAATACAAAATATAGGTAGATATATAGAGAAAAGCAGACTGGCGCTTGCCAGGGTCTGGGGAGAGTGAGAAAATCGTATGGAACTTTACATGGAGATGGTAAAATGTTTTCGAACAAAGGGGGTGGCTGCACAATTACTGTCAATGTACTAAATGCCACTAAATGGTACACTTGAAAATAATTTTATGTGAATTTCATTTTGATTTTTTTTTTTTAATCATCTTGGTGAGGGTGGAGAACACATACATTGAAGGTTAGATGTAATAAATAGTGGGGTGAGGGCCTAGGCTATGCACAGCTAGTGGGAACAAAAGCAGAGGAGGTAACGGATTTGAGAACTATTAATACTCAGGAAGGAGCTGGCTGGCAGTGGGGTGAGAAAGGATGACTTCTATCTGGAATAAGTAGGTTAAGAGGACAAGACTGAACAGCCAGCCAGTTCCCTGAGCAGGCTGAATTTCAGGGAAGTTTTGGAGGCATTAAACTTGCATCTTCCCTCAATAAACCAGTCTGGACTGCAGATAAGGCCCAGAGAGAGGAACATCTGATAGAAGTAAATGGGATAGAAGTAAATGGAAAACATCATGCTTGTAACATAATTAAAAAAGAAAATAACATCATGGTCCAGTAAGTAGTAGACTAAGGAGGTAGACTACGAAGATACTCAGCATAAATAAAAGTCAGGTAGTGTGATGGTAGAAAGATGTCGTTATACAGTTAATATTTCATTTCTATCTTGTATCACTTGTGTAGTTGTGTAACTAAATGATCCAATAAGTTTTGATTTTATGAAAATGATTCCAGTAAAAGCACCAATGGGCTGAACGTTCAATCCATTAAGTTGTTACACTGACGGCACCTCCTGTTCGGGATAGAGCTCTCCATGTGCACATCTCGTTCTCTCCTTACAGAAGTTCACTGCTGATAAAGGTATTTCTTGTGAGCAGCCCCCTGGGACTACACTGCTGCCTTAACCTTACCACCAGAGTTTCATGGAAAGGAGACAAGGAAAGCAGCTTATGTCTGTGATTTCCTTTCTCATAGACTGCTTACCCCATCCTTCATTCTGCAGAGTATGCCAAGGGGACGAGTCCTCCGGTCTCCCTCAGCATTGAAAGATAACCGTGAACTGGACAACATCACACATCACAACTTCAAAGTTTCTTTTTACACTAAACTACAACAATACTCTTTTTTCGCTATTTTTGTGTTAGAAATAAGTGTTTTCCCTAACACCAGTGTCAACTTTCTGTCAATTGCCAATCTTATAGAAGAAAATGGTGACACTGTTCATCGATAAACCATTTTTCTCTAAATTTATCAATGATTCAATTCATTTTACTGACAAGGGTAGTATTCAGAAATAACATGAACATTAATAATGTGAACAACTATGTTGATAATTTCATTTCACTTCAAATGTCATAAGCAGAAAATCAGCAGTGGCACTTTTTAAAGCAATTTATACTTGTTTTAGGAATTGATTGTTTGGCTTAACAAAATAAATAAAAATATCTATAACCAGTTAATCTCTGGTTAACTATAATTAACTTGTCAAAAGACTTGGGCAGACACATGAAAGCTGTCTTGAGTCATCATGCATTTATACCTTGGAATAACAACTCAATTGCATTAAAACTGGGTACAAGTATGTCTTAAAGAAAATTAAAGTTCATGTGCTGCCAGTAAACTAGGGTGGAAAAACATACAGATTATGCAATCAAAAGGTATAAGGAGCTCAGGACATTAATAGACTAGCACTGTAAAGTGTGTGTACACACTCACTCACACAGGCACAAAAGGACGCATGGACACACCCCCTACACACATGTCCCATCTCTGGGGGTTACGGCAGGATGGCAGGAAGCAGGGGGCACACTCACGTCGCACTGGAAAGGCTTCTCCCCGGTGTGCGTCCTCGTGTGCTCGTCCAGGCCGCGCTTCTGGCTGAAGGCCTTGCCGCATTCCGAGCACTTGTACGGCTTCTCCTAGTCAGGGAAGAGGCCAGGAATGCCAGTGAGGGCAGGGTCATCCTCAGCAAGGGGCACACAGCAGCGTTTTTACCTACTTCTGCAGGGTGTGGCAGCACACTCAGAGGTGCCATGAATTATTATAAATTTTCAGGGGAAAACAGGACTACTCAAAACCTGCTGGGCAGTCTTAAGAGACCAGGTGGTTCACAGCGCCAGCATCAGAGTCACTACCTTTCTTTCCATGCAGTCCTGACTGCCCAAAGGGAGATTCTGCAGGATTGCTGTGACCTAACCACTTGGTAGACTGAACTCTAAGGTCTTCTTTTCATCTTGGAGAGCCTGCTAAAAGGGCATCATCGAACAAAACAGTTTGGGACCCCTGGTTTACATGCTGCAAACTGTTCACTGTTTCAAAGGGATTCCTGGAAATGAGAGCCCAGACCAAATGTTTAACAAGTTTTGAGGGTAAGTTTAAGACTTTAGAACTAGACTGTGACTTTTAAGTATTTTCATTTTTATTGTCCAATATTTTTTTCCTAGGAAGGATGTTCTTTTAAAAAATCTAAATTACTTTTTAAAATGAGGCATTATTTATAGCTGATCATAGACTCTTAAGGAAAAGAGTATCTCCACAGAACAAGGAAAAAAATACCTGAATTCCTTAGCCATCTTTGATACCAGAAACTTTAGTCACCATCTTTTAAGCTTGAAATAAATTCCAAAATAAATTAATTAACATTGCTTCATTAAAACAGCTGGCCAGTTATTAAATAGAGCATTGATAAAAAGATTTGTTTAAAGTAAAACTGCATTAAGATCTTTTTTCAAATATAGCTTAAAAATATTGCTATAGATGCTTTTTGAATTGAGGTAGCATGTATATAGTTTTAAATTTCATGTTTCCATGTTTATTTTCTCCTTAGTATTTAAAAGACTTATTAAAACATTCAGACCTACAAAACAGTATGTAAATAATCACACATGTACACCCACCAGCCAGGTTAAGAAATGGAATATTTTTGTGAACACATGTAGCTCCTATTTATTCAGTCTTAATGAGTATAGTATTGCGTTCAATGGCAACACCACAATTTGCTTATGTACATTCTGCTGCGGTGGATATTTAAGTGTTCCCCAATTTTTCATTCTTATAAATAATGTTGTTCTGAACATTCATTCAAATGTATACTTGAACACAGATAAGCAAGCATAATTTCCTACAGTATGTATATCTAGAGGTAGCACTGCACCTTCAGCTTTTCTGGGAATGGCCAAGTAGCTCTACAAAGCGAATAACCATTTTGGGGAATTCTCTGGCGGTCTGGTGGTTAAGGCTCTGGGCTCCCAGCGCGGGGGGCACAGGTTTGATCCCTGGTCAGGGAATTAACATCCCACGTGCGGTGACGATGAGCCTGCACATGGCAACAAAGATTCCATGTGCAAAAGTAAGGCCCAGAACAGCCAAATAAAATAAACACATATTTTTAAAGAAAGATGCATCATTTTAAAAACAACTTTACACTTCAATATCTAGGGTATTCTTAGAATTCTATCATTGTAGTTAACAAAAATTTTGAAACTCATGTACACAATGAATATACATAAATTTAAAAGTATGACAGTCCTGGAAAATAGGATCTTTTATCATTTTTAAGTGACCTTCTTTATCTGTATCATCCTTTTCACCTTAAAATAATTTGTTAATAATATAGCTGTAAAAGCTTTTTAAAATTAGTATTTGCTGAAGGTTGGGAGACTTGTTGAAATGTTGGTCAAAGGTACAAATTTCGAGTTAGAAGGTAAGTTTGGAGACTAAATGCACGGCAATGTGAATATAGTCAACTGTACCGTAGTATATACTGCAAAGCTGATAAGAGACTAGAGCCTAAATGTTCTTACCACAGCAATGACAACGACACGACATGACGGAGGTTCTAGCTAACACTATGATGGAATCATACTGCAACATACAAACACACCAAATCACCGTTGCACAACTTAAACTCAGTGTTGTATGTCAACTATATCTCACTTTTAAAAAACAGGAAATAGTTTTTGCCTAGTATATCCATCTTCTTTTACTTTCAAACAGTCTATATCTTAGGTATGATGAGCATCTGTTGTAAATCGCATACAACTGAAAAATTTTAATCCAAACTTATGTCATTTTTTCAAGTTAGTAAGTTTCACTTTTTATTATTTTTTATTATCATTTAAAATTTATATTGTCAGAATATATTACCATTATAATAAAATACAACAGGATGTTGATTCTGAATATTTATCATTATTAGTAATATATTTAAATAAGTTTCTAACATTTTATTTTATGCTTTGCTTTTATCTTGCTGTTTTCTAAGTTTTTCTCCCTTATATTTTCTTACATGTTTTGGATTGATCCTGTATTATTATAGAACTTACACACTCTATTTCCACTCTTTCAGTGGTTATCCTTAAATTTTTTTTACTATGTACGTTTAACATAATCTAAAGTTTGTTTTCCCATGTACTAATTAGCATGCCCTTTCATGTTATGTGTAACAGTATCTTATTTGTATATTGATTTTTAATGCCCAGTATGGAATCATTATTACTTTACACAATCACTGTGGTTTAGCTCTCAAGTTCAGTTCAGTTCAGTTGCTCAGTCATGTCTGGCTCTTTGCGACCCCATGAATCACAGCACGCCAGGCCTCCCTGTCCATCACCAGCTCCAGGAGTTTACCCAAACCCATGTCCATTGAGTCGGTGATGCCATCCAACCATCTCATCCTCTGTCGTCCCCTTCTCCTCCTGCCCTCAATCTTTCCCAGCATCAGGACCTTTTCCAATGAGTCAACTCTTCACATCAGGTGGCCAAAGTACTGGAGTTTCAGCTTCAACATCAGTCCTTCCAGTGAATATTCAGGACTGATTTCCTTTAGGATGTACTGGTTGGATCTCCTTGCAGTCCAAGGGACTCTCAAGAGTCTTCTCCAAAACCACAGTTCAAAAGCATCAATTCTTCAGCACTCAGCTGTCCAACTCTCACATCCATATAGTACTACTGGAAAAACCATAGCCTTGACTAGACAGACCTTTGTTGGCAAAGTAATGTCTCTGCTTTTTAACATGCTGTCTATGTTGGTAATAACTTTCCTTCCAAGGAATAAATGTCTTTTAACTTCATGGCTGCAGATCAGCCATGATGCAGTCAAACATCTGCAGTGATTTTGGAGCCCCCCAAAATAAAGTCAGCCACTGTTTCCCCATCTACTTGCTATGAAGTGATGGGACCAGATGCCATGATCTTAGTTTTCTGAATGTTGAGCTTTAAGCCAACTTTTTAACTCTCCTCTTTCACTTTCATCAAGAGGCTCTTCAGTTCTTCTTCACTTTCTGCCATAAGGGTGGTGTCATCTGCATATCTGAGGTTATTGATAGTTCTCCTGGCAATCTTGCTTCCAGCTTGTGCTTCTTCCAGCCCAGTGCTTCTCATGATGTACTCTGTTATACAAGTTAAATAAGCAGGGTGACAATATACAGCCTTGACATACTCCTTTCCCTACTTGTAACCCAGTCTGTTGTTCCATGTCCAGTTCTAACTGTTGCTTCCTGACCTGCATACAGATTTCTCAAGAGGCAGGTCACGTGGTCAGGTATTCCTATCTCCTTAAGAATTTTCCACAGTTTATTGTGATCCACACAGTCAAAGGATTTGGCATAGTTAATAAAGCAGAAATAGATGTTTTTCTGGAACCCTCTTGCTTTTTCGATGATCCAATGGATGTGGGCAATTTGACCTGTGGTTCCTCTGACTTTTCTAAATCCAGTTTGACCATCTGGAAGTTCACAGTTCACATACTGCTGAAGCCTGACTTGGAGAAATTTAAGCATTATTTTACTAGTGTGTGAGATGAGTGCAATTGTGCAGTAGTTTGAGCATTCTTTGGCATTGCCTTTCTTTGGGATTGGAATGAAAACTGACCTTTTCCAGTCCTGTGGCTACTGCTGAGTTTTCCAGATTTGCTGGCAAGTTGAGTGCAGCACTTTTACAGCATCATCTTTTAGGATTCGAAGTAGCTCAACTGGAATTCCATCACCTCCACTAGCTTTGCTCGTAGTGACGCTTCCTAAGGCTACTTAACTTCACATTCCAGGATGTCTGGCTTTAGGTGAGTGATCACACCATCGTGATTATCTGGTTCATGAAGATCTACACACTAACAGTTTCTTTACTTTTCATGCGTTCTTATGTATTTGAATTTCCAAGGATCAGCTGAGAGTAAATTCTGTTTTTGACTGAAAATGGCTTTGTTTCTCATTTCTTATTGAATGAAAGCCTACAAACTCAATTAGGTCTTTTTATTTTTCATATCTCTCAACCCGTCTTAGCCATTTCCATCTCTTTGTATTGCACTCTATGTATTTCTTTAGAATCAGTTGATCAATTATCTTCAGATATGAACAACTTAATGACCTAACAGGATCATTTGAGTTTTCAATGTCCATTATTGTATTTTTAAGTTCTAGAGCTTTCCACTTAGCTCTTTTCAATTATGTTTAATTTTTAATATAATCCTGCTTTTTATTGGTGCTCCTTATGCCTATTTTAAAATATTCTAGGCATTTACACAATTTTCTTTATTAAATAAATCCTTATCTTATGTGCTTTGGAAGTTTAGTTCTGCTTCTTGTGGTTTCTCCTATCTCCTGCTCATGGCTCTTGTTTCCTTGGGAGTTCCTGGAATTTGGAATCATGAACTCATGTTTGGTGGTCCTTATCTGTTAAAAGCCCGGGAGCCCTCAGGTTGACAGTAAGTCCCTCCAGACAGCATTTGTGTTTGCTTCTGCCATGCACCGTAGGATGCTATCAGTCAAAGACCATTTTAAGTTTATTTCTTGCCTGAGGGTTTTCTGGCCAGGCAAGCATTTTAAGTCTGAACTTCAAACACATTTGTGGGGAAGGACTGTGGTTACAACCTCTAAGGAGAACTCTTTCTCTAGTCAGCAACTAGCTCAAAACAACTGAATGT